ATTGTTGCAATCGTTGTTATATTCATCATTCTTAGTTGTGTTTTCATCATTTTGGTATTACTTTCAAGTGATCTGTGCCAGGTCTTTTGTTCTTATAAACTAGCGATAAAATCTATATAAAAACATCTACAGATAGTTAATCATGGGAAATCTTCAGAAATATATAAGTAGCAAAATAAAATAAGATAATATGATAATTGAAGTTGAAAATTTACAGTAACATGATGCTTAGATAATGTTGTATAAACAATAAATTAGATATTTAGAGAAAATTGGAACATAATCCAGTCTCTGCATTGATAGGTTTAGATTAATTTCCCTCACTACCTGATACTAAAATGAAAAATATTTTTGTTTTTATTTTGAGGTGGTAGCATACTGAGGAGGTGTTTGTGACTAATAATTTATTTTCCAAAAGCACTACAACATTACATAAAGTTAAATTGCATTTCTTCCTTAAAATTCCTTTTGAACAGTATTGAATGATAATGGAGCAATGACTGAAAGAAAATACTTCAACTTGCTGAAATTTAAAAAATGTTGATCTGGTAATGTTCAGTACTTAATAAAGTATAAAAACAATAATTTTTCAATTCAAATTTTTGTGCAAAGTTTGGAAGAAAGATAAATTTTAGCAAATTTTCAGCCAATATCTGTTTATTTGACTCTTTAATTATAATATTTGTTAGGGTTTTATGCTAGTTTTGTGACACAAGTTAAGGATTCTGATAGGATTTTGGTAGAAGTTTTCTTTAGAATATTAGATTGAACTTCATCTAGAAGATCTTTCTGGATTAATTCTCATACAAGCCCTTGCGGATGCCTATGAAAAAAGTTTTTGGAATGTTTTGAAAAACGATATGCTATATTATGGATTTAATTCTAGGCTATATATTTGAACCAGCTTTTGCAAGCATGTCTGAGCTGTTGATATAGATTTTTATAAATATGTTGAATTTCTTTTTACTTATACCACAGTCTTACTTATAGTTCTTTTTATTTAGATAAACATTTTAATGGTATAAAGATATAAAGATTGACTTTTTATATAAAAGAAAAGTAACAAGAGGTTAACAATTTCCAAAAGAATATTTTAACTTCCCGATTGAATTTTGCTGGAGCCCTTTTTGATCTTAATTCAAACTCGAATCAAATACAAATCTAGCAAAATCTGACGAAGTCTAAATTACAAATCTACATAAGTCAATCGATTTTTTTGATTAGTATAACATATTGATTAGGCTAGTAAGTATTTCTTTTGAACAGTGCCCTAAAACGTTTGATTCATGTGTTGAAAATTACATATGATTGTAAAATTTGTCTGTGATACTTTATAAAAGAAAATTTTGCTAGTAGAAGACGTTTTTGCTGCTCAGAAGGTCTAGTAGGAAATCAATTTTGAATATGACATTCATTATTGTTTTCTCCTCTCTTTTTGCCAAATTCCAAGCCAGAGCTGTGACGCGTTACATAGTTTTAAGTTCCCTAATGGTCGGTGATACCCGTGAAAAAACTATATTACGTAACTGGGTGTTATTTTCAGAGTTAAAAATACACAGTGCGACAACTGCATCCAGAAAATGTTACAGTGAATGTGCTTATAAATAAATCAAAGAGTTTTTGTTTCGATTGACCTGCTGCTGCTAGCTCAAAGGCGTCTGCTTCTGTGACCTGTGATGCTGAAAGCCGTGAATTAGAGTAGTAGATTAATAAAGGAACCCAACAACGATTATTTCAGCATTCTTTTTAAACCATTGACAATTTGCAACTACCTACTCATTGAAAAATGAATACAATTTTGCAGTTCATAACTAATTGTGTCTGATTTTCTTAACGGATGTTGGTTTTCCACATAGATTAAGCCGCGGAAGAATTGAATTCGACTAAACCTCAACTTTTTTTCCAATACTTCAAGGGTAATGTTTTCTAAGCGAAGGTAAATATTTTTGGTTTTAGTTGAATTTGATTCATTCGTGTGCTACTGCTGTTCGGTACATGAAGTAGGGCATTTCTTCCTGATACGTCATTCGTCACCATGCCTCTATTTCAAAGAAGACGGACCTTACTTCCATAGCATTTCAAGTTAAATTTGCAAGCTTTTTGAAGTATAGGCGGACATTCCTTTGCTATTTCGCTGAATAAACAGCCAAAAATGAATTTCTGAAACGTACTGTTCATTCAAGGTCGCTAGTTAATATACCTACCTGATAACATGGGATTTATTCATAAATTGCCGGCTTACTATATATAAACTTAATATATTTCTTATGTATTGAACTGGAGTACTTAAATGATGAAATAATGGTAAATGGTATACCGAGCACCGTGCAACTTTAGCTTCAATGTTTGCTTTTTGAACGAAATTTGTTACGAATTTGGCTTAAACAGTAAGGTACACAGAAGATTAACACCGTTGTGGCTGTATTATCACTTCGGAATAGCCTGTCGGGGAGTATGGGCCACGAACCTAAGAATGCCTATTCACCTAGATGCAAAGCCGTAGTTTTTTCGGTCATACATTTGACAAAACCGCGTATATTTGGACACTCACTATCTCGTTTTGCCAACGAGCAGTCAAATCAAACTATGCATGTGTACAATACATACTTATACCATGTTCGCTTCTTCAGATGTCTTTGTAAACAACAAATCAAAGATTTGAGCACAAACAATTGACAATTTCCTCTATGGAAGAGCTCGTTCATACATTATGTACCAAAATTAACTATGAAAAGACTCATGAAGAATAGGTAGCCATACAAACGTTTTCCTTCCTTCTGTACTTATTTGCTCAAGTTGCAAAAGGTTGCGATTAATTCTAGTTTTCATGGAGTTAAACACGAGTTTGCTCAATAAGTTTGAGTTTTGACAAGATAAACAAATTTTGGCCTTTCTTATCCACACATGCTTAAGCCATTGTTTTCCTTCACAACTAGATAACGTGCAAAGCATACTATTGGGTGTTAGGGGCAAGGTGTTAACCCGAGTGTGGGCACTGTCTTTCCAAAACTTTAAGTCGCTTTTTTCCTTAGGTTAATCTGCATATTGTTTAAACCAATCTGCAACACAGCTCTGAAATCCCGCGAATTGACATTCCTAGCTGAAGTAAGTTAAATCCTGATAATATCTTGTCAAGATGCCTAACCAATATAGTGTAGTCCTTAGACCGGCTTTGTTCATTCAGAACTTCTGAAATGAAGAAAGCTAACGAAAGATTGCATAAATTACAAGGTGTTTATTTACAAGTTCAGTTGCTAAGTGAATTTTCTGTTTAATGATGGCGATCCAACATCCCAATATTTTTACCATGGTGTTACCTTGGGTAATCTTAAAGATAGTTTCATGAAAATAAGCATTTCTGGAAATTTTACAAGAAATACATGTTTTTAACTACCAAAAGCCTTGAAGTTGATGTTTTTAATCAATTCTTAATCTCTGTTTGATTTGACTACTGTTTGAATTTTATTGGACGCTGGAGTTCTCTTCTTCCTTCTGCCCTTCCTTTTATAATTTCCTTATTTTCCTGTGGACGGAATAGAGAAAGAAAGCGAGACTTGTCGCAAGTTTAATTGGACGGTAGTTCTCTATACTTTTCTTTACTAAATCGAAACTTGTGAATGTAATCAATACCCTTTCTTGTTGGTCTGTTCTTTAATGAATCATCTTGATACTAATGAAACAGTTACTAAAATCATAAACAGTTACTAAAACAAAGAGCAAAACATACAGCTTTTGACAAAGGTATCTTCTACCAGGAATAATCAAACTGCATGCAACATGTACATTTTTGCCAACACACATGCAACACAGTGAAAGTTCAAACCATGCCAATTTTTAGTGTCCTTGGCGGTGTCTCGGTTAGTATCAAGATATAACGTTATTTGGGGGCATGGCCTGTTTGAGGCAAACGCAAGGAACATTCCTTGATAAATTATTAGCTAATGAAAAACCTGCAACATCAAGAAGCGTTGGAATATGATAAGTAATACAGCGAAAATTCCTTTATATTGGACAACTCTGGGACCAGTTACTGTCTGTTAAAGGGTGCCAACTAAAATCATATTGTTCAGATATATCAGATAAAGGATATTTCAATGTAGTTACGTGTTTTCTGTTTGTATTTGTAAAATACAAAAGATAATTAACTAATGTGACCCTGTTCTCTTGCTTATTAGAGCTTACTTATGTTGCAGCTCACATCATTCCAAGTGCCTTTCTCGAAACCATTTATTTCTGATGTAGGTACATCCCCCAGCTATCCTCTTCGTTGCTCAAAAGAACAAAATGCCTTAGTTCAGGCATGGTCAAATTAATATGAATGTTTTACTTGTAAATTTGCTCTAATGAAAGAGATTGTCCATTGTCATCAAAGGCAAACCTTGACTTAGTCCATGATGTTTTGTCTCGCCACAAATATTTCTTTTTTCTAATTAATATTGAAATCAATTTAATTGTAAAAAGATTGTGCAAATCAAGGGGAAACCACAAGACCACCTGCTGTAGCTCTACTCGTGTTAATTAAAGAGCTCTTGTTACCTGAAGTGGCGCTCCTATAGATACTGTTGGTGCTAATAAAGTTTTACTTTGAAACAGAACTAAAGTACCGTATAATAAGGTATTTTTGCAGTTAGTACTACCAACACTATTGGCTAAAGGATTGCTGACGTATGATTTTGATTTCAACGTGGTCAAGGAAAATAATAGAAATGCCAATCAACTGTCATTTTTGCAAACTAAAAGTTACTGGTTATCAATCGAACTTGATTTTCAACCCTGTATATTCCAAATAAGTTAATGAACTATGGTTCTGAAATTTTATTTTTTCCATGTAATTGAAATCATTTTGTATAACATGTCCATTTTAAATTAAATTGTGGGTCAGCTCGAATCACAGCGTAAGCTATGACGTCATTCTAATAAAGAAACTCCCATCAGTCTTTGCGGTGCTTTACCAAGTCTTCAATGTTTCTCGTTACTAAGGAATTTGCCTAGCCTCGCGGCGAGGCACTTTTTGTAGCCTCGTCATTGTCAATAATGAAGAGATCAGAACCGTTAGACTCATTGTCAGCCAATAATTGACACACAAACATAGATCAGCTGACATCATTACCATAAAACATTATCGCTTCCGTCATAAGCTATCAACAAGTTCGCGTATACGATTGTCATAGGTCGGAGCATTGTCAAAGGAACAGGTACGCGAGAGGGTCCATCTTCTACACTTATCAAGACCGCGTCATGGAAACCCTTCGGACCAGAAGCCCTGATGTACCTGTGCATCGTAGAGGCAGTAGTGGCAGAGAACATAAGTGTGACGGGATAGGTCGGTGCAGAGATCAGGATGGCAGCGGATTAAGACTTACAGCACCCGTTGCCGTTTACCCATATGAAAGATCTAGAAATCAAAGTACGTCTAGCTTTGAAGAGAGGTGGTCTGCAACACAACGACCAGCTGTAATTTCACAGCCTTCTAGCGCACGCAAATCGTATAAATCTTATAGCATAAGCGAGATTCTTAAGACCAACGACAGTTCAACGCAACACGAAGAGAGTGGTGATCGTCATGTAACTCACTTGCCTTCTGAAGATCGCTATTACCTTGCAAACAGGGAGAGAGTTATACGTGAACCATCTGGGTGTTGGAGCTATGAAGAGGCCTCTCCCACACAAGCCTGTACAGCGTGTTGTCAATGTTACTCTGCACTACGGTACCCCTGCAGCATCCCATACAGACCATGGGCAATGACGGTGGCGGCAGACAGGGATGCATTCCATTGCGGGTATTCTTCAACAGGTATGCTTAAAGAATTTCTTAGCTTTTAATGTCGTGTAAACACGCTCCTCCCACAGCTATGATAACCTAGCAAATACGAGCACAGATTTCGCGGTTTCATTAGAAAGATCGAAACAAACTCTGTCTTGCACTTGAACAAACAGTCAAGACCCACAAGACGGTACGATAACGACTGATCTGGATACTCCTTCTTAATCTGCTAGGCAGATCACGGTTTATGAACTGACATAACTACAATCATTTCATAAGAAGGCATTGCATCAAACCAGCTGTAAATTATGTTAACACCCCATAGCATATTACTTTGCCATACAATCAGTACGTTTTCATGTAGCATAGTTATCGAGTGAACGCCTTGCCAGCAAGTTTGAGACTTAACACGTATGATAATGGTCTCGTTACGGGTTTTTAAGAAGCATTAAACTCAGAAGCTATTCATGCATTTTAACCATTTTAGAGTTCTTGAGGTCAGAACTTTCCCTTAGGAAACGTAGTGTTAATCACCTTACTGTATCAGTGAATGTTCACACAGCATCGACATGCCAGGCAATATAAGCCATGGTCTTCGCGTGTATTTCCTAGAATATATAGAATCACTCCACACTGGCATGAATTACAGCTTCTTTAACTTTATCATCGCCTATATTATTTTTGTTTGTTACGCCTCCTCGATAGATACGCTAAAAAAACCTGCAATGTTGAGCTGCTCATTTCAGAAAAATCAAATGTTCTGAATCGCCCCCTTTTTTAGGGCCTTGCAGATTTATGTCTAGTCATTTTCACATTATTAGAGGCTTCCATTCTATGTGACATTCTCAGGAACCTGTTTGTCATCAGCTCAGTAGAACTGCTCCACTAAACTGCCCGTGTGATTCACGTACATTTTGAAATTGAAAATTATCTGGACCAGGCCTCTTCAATTGTTCGCTGAAATTGGAAGGTTCCTTGGCAGAAATACTGAACAAAATTGATTACTTCTATATTTTACCTTCCGGTGGTGCAAAGCCTTCGTCTATGATTGATTACATGGCCTTAATTTAGACAAAGTTATTAAAACGGGCCAATGTTTGGCTTTTAGCTTAGTTAAACTTGTTAATATTCGTGATTATAACCTAACTTAATACCACACTTAACACTAAGATAAATAGCACCAATGTTAGTGCAAGGTTTTCAATCATGAATGGAAAGAAAGCAATTTATATTTATAATAACTTCTTCTGATCTGTTGCTTGTGACGTTGAGATTTTTCAACTTTCTGCCCAGTTGCAAATAATTCCATATGTTACTAGGCTTTGTTTGGCTGGCTATGCTATATGTTTATAGTTTCAAATGAGTTGATCTTAACTCATCTATTAGAGACCTTATCTTTCTTTACTATACCAAACCCCTTGTTTTGTTTGGTATGGTGAATTTTACATCGACCTTGATACTGTCACCAACTATCTTATACTTTACTTAAACTTAATTTTAAACTTGACCTAAACTTAAATTTAGTCTTACACTTAAACTGAACAAAACTGATTACTACCTGACAATTCAACCCGTTTTATTTTGACAAAATGCCGCCTAATTTGATGATTGTATACCATTTCTTCAGCTTAGCACACTCACAAATGGTTATATATGTACTCTCAATTGCTGGTCTACTCTTTGCTATTGGAACTTTGTTCAATGTCAAGTGTTTGTTGTTACTGGTCAGCTTCACTTATAGACTTCAACATTAGCAGACCACCCAGCTCTGACACATCATGCACTCTATTTTTGTTGTCGGAAATTGTTCAAAGCACAGTCTGTAGAAGCAGTACAGTCAGTTACAAAATTTAAATGCAAAAAGTTTTTACTAGAGATTTATGTTTAATGTTTCCAAACTCTAGTTCTCACTGTTTCCTGTTTGGTCCGTTTTCGAATTCTAAGAGTTTCTTGTACTTAATGAGAAGTTATAAATAAATAGTTAAGTAAATGAATAAAGAAATAAATAAATAGATAAATAAATAAGAGAAGGGAATTTAAATGTTCACTATACGTCATGACCATATAATTTTTGGTTGTCATTCAATCGTTTTCGTCCTAGGTCTTACTATTTCGACAATTTTACCATTTAGAAGATAAAAGCAGTCCAAAGAAGTCACAATTTCTTCTTTTTTTTGATGCGACTTTATGACTTGTGACAAGCAGGCAAGAAAACTATTATTTTTGGGGTTAATTACTGTCAATTTTTACTCGATTTCCATTGTCCGGGTGGCTGTAATGTTTGGTCTAATTACTTGTTAAAACTATGCAAAACCAAATTTCAAACACGTACAGTTTAATAAATAACTGTTTTATATTTTACATACCAGTAGGATGTTCAGAAAATTGAGCAGAATCAGGCCATGAAGGAACGTTTTCATATAAGTTTACGTTATCGGACGGAAATTTTAAAAAATTGCCATAGAAATTTAGATAATCTAGAAATTTAGACAGAAGATAAATTATATAAAGATAAATATGGCAATAATCTTTGCATAAATGTATTTCTCTTTTGGTTTCATTGCGTTTTTGATATCACAAGGCACCTTCCTTTTATTTATGAAGGAGGTTACTCGTATTTAAAATGGGCTAAAGCCGTTTTCACGAAGGTTTCCTATTCGGAGTATATAAATCAACGTACTGTTTTTAGAAAAAATTGCTGTGATTTGAAGTACCAGAGACACTTTTTTATAAAAACAATTTCATAAAAACATGAGCATCAGAGCTAGTAACAAGTCTAGAACAGATTATACTGTGGCTGGGCTACAGTAATATGTACTTCCGAACAATGTTTCATCTATAAAAAGAAGGGTTTCTTGTCATATCTAGAGGTGCTTTTTCGATGAATTTTCAAAAATGTCGGGGAAAAAGGATGTCCCACTCACTTTGTTGCAAAAGAGTTCTTCTTGCTTCTATGTTAAGAACCATCAAGCCTCAAATTGTCGAAAAAGAACTTCAATTTGCTGGTTCTTTTCAGAAAAGAGTATAGTTTAGTTGGTACCTCATAGATTTTTGAAGTGAGAGTAAAATGGGATTCCTTTCTTCTAGCTTGTTATTAGATTTATGCACTTCATTTCGAAAGAAATATCATATTCACAATCGGATGTTTTGATACAGAAACACATTGATCTAAACACGTATCTAAAAGCAATTAAGTACTACCAAACGATGCAGAGGTGGGAAATTTTGCGTTACAAGTAACCATGTTTTGCCTTTACTAGGTTTTTCACAGTAATTTAAAACTCGGGAACAGGATCAGCGTTGTCTGCAAAACTGTTTTAATATAGACATGCATATATTACAACGAATTTGGTGAATCTAAGGGCAGAAGCTTCACGTTGCTAGGACGCTTTTTGCTACAATGCAGATGTTTAGCAATCAAAGTGTTCAGAAGTGTTCATAGCAAAAAATATTTGTTTGGTTTTTTGACAACGCCCCTCGTTTTCTTGCATTCTTCTATCATGAATAACCTTTCAAGGTTAAATAAACATTTAAATTTGTCTGTACTTTGTCAGTCCCTTAGTAGTTCGTGCTAAATTTTCGTCTGGATGGCTGAAACCCACACAGCACCAGGCTTCAAACAATAAAAAAATCCATCATATTTTCCCCTATTACCCGCGAGATCTAACCGTAAGCGCAACAACAATTTTCCAAAAAATTCATAAACACAATCAGTAGCTAGAGTAAAACTGTGTGAGTCTCAAGAACCCCTTATATTTTCTTAGGGTAGGGTGAGTCTCAAAAGCTCAAAAACACTTTACATTCACTAAATACTGCTTAAAATTGCGCTAATGCTGTTAGTGTCTGTCAACCAAACGAACTGACCTATATTAGCTCTTTCCTTTCTCGCATATAGATATATTTCCAACAAAGCTTTCGAAGAATGTTATAGCATGCGATTTTATAAAGCCTAATTTGTTCAGGTTTATCAGCCGTAAGAACTTTGAGTGGAAGATGAATGTTTGCTGTAAAATTTCAACGCAATCAACATTCTTAACCCATTGATAGTTTGCCTTTGCCCGAGATCAGATCCGGTCCGATCTACATATTTGCATTGAAAATATATGACAATTGCCCTTGTCATTCTTTTTGGAAATAAAATATATTAGTTTCATAGATTCCCAGACAAGAAAAAGTATAGTCTTCCACGAATCAAAATCTGTTGTGCAAAGAAATAATAGGACACGACAAGACTAACGCAATATTGATGAGAACTGGTAAACATGCGCTGAATCTAGTTGAAGCACACGCTATGTACAGAGCAAACGGTTTTGCTCAACACAGACATTAAGTAAGATTCTTCTTCGATAAAACTATCAATATCTCAGGCATTAAGAAAATCTTGTAAAACGGGGTTTAAAGAATAATTTTTCAATTTCCTTAAACTTCCCTGGCATCAACTTTATGAATCAACTTTCCAAACTCTGTCAAGTCTCCAAACTCACTTTTCACGGCATTTCTCGCTTATTTCACAAGGCCGTGAGCGTTCATGTGTCTGGATTCAATGTTTTATAGCCTATAAAGACAACGATTACTCAGAAGAGTATTTCCTTAATAGCCTCGAGTGTTCAAAACCTGCATTAATAAGTATTATTTACAATTGAGAATCAAAATGCATGAACATGAAATCATATTTCTACTTAAAAGAAGTTTATATGTTGACGACAAATAGAATAACTCTGGTTCCTTAAACATCAACTTTCAATGTATTATCAGCGTTTGAATATCTGACGTTAAGTGGCATTTAACAAGTGGAAAGGATGGGCTTTCAAGCCATTTTCTTTCTAAAAATGGGAACGGTTAAAGAGAAATTTATGAATGTTAAAATAAACAACTCTAACTGCCTTTTGACTTATCTACTGACTTGCGAGGATACCATCAAAGTTGTCCAAAATATGTGACTTTGTAATGGAACAGATACAATAGTTCTTCTTGGTGTTTATAGAGGGAAACTTGCAGTAAGGTATCTACCTCTTAAATAAGCTCCCTGC